CCCGGCGCCTCGACATGGCCGAGTAGGTCTCGGCGGGGGCGGGTGGGAGCGGCAGCAGCAGCGCCAGCAGTGCCCCCAGTGTTCCCAGTGCTCCCAGTGCTCCCAGTTCCTCTCTCTCCATTTCACGTGTCTCTTTATTTTTCGCCCCATTTCCCGGTGTCTCCTGGGACGGTTCTTGGTCTTCTCCTGCCCGTCCCACCACCCACCACCCACCAGCACCAGGGGGTGAAGTTCATGGTGGGGGCCGGGGTGTGGTGGACCTGGTGGTGGATCTAGTGGTGGACCTGGTGGACCTGGAAGACCTGGAGGACTTGGTGGTGGACCTGGTGGTGGATCTGGTGGACTTGGTGGTTGACCTGATGGACTTTGGTGGTGGACCCGGTGGTGGACCCGGTGGACTTGGTAGACTTGGTGGTGGACCTAATGGTGGATCTGCTAGACCTGGTGGACTTGGTGGTGGACCTGGAGGACCTGGTGGTAGACCTGGTGGTGGGTCTAGTGGTGGATCTGCTAGACCTGGTGGACCTGGTGGACTTGGTAGACCTGGTGATGGATCTAGTGGTGGATCTGGTAGACCTAGTGGACCTGGAGGACCTGGTGGTAGACCTGGTGGTGGATCTAGTGGTGGATCTGCTAGACCTGGTGGACCTGGTGGACTTGGTAGACCTGGTGATGGATCTAGTGGTGGATCTGGTAGACCTAGTGGACCTGGAGGACCTGGTGGTGGACCTGGAGGACCTGGTGGACTTGGTGGTGGATCTAGTGGTGGATTTGGTGGACTTGGTGGATCTGGTGGTGGATCTGGTGGTGGATTTGGTGGACTTGGTGGATCTTGTGGTGGATCTGGTGGACCTGGTGGACCTGGATAGACCTAGTGGACCTGTTGGTAGACCTAGTGGACCTGTTGGACCTGGTGGACTTGGTGGTGGATCTAGTGGTGGATTTGGTGGACTTGGTGGATCTGGTGGTGGATCTGGTGGTGGATTTGGTGGACTTGGTGGATCTTGTGGTGGATCTGGTGGACCTGGTGGACCTGGAGGTCTCACTGTCTCCTGATATACCTCCGGATCCAGGGGGTGGCTCGGCAGACGTTGGAGTAGACGCCGGGTTGTCCCCGCCGCCCGCAGACGGCCATGCCCCAGGAGACCACGCCTTGAAGGACCCCGTTACACACCAGGGGGCCACCAGAGTCACCCTGGAGGGGGGAGAAGGACACGTGGTGGGTCTCGCTTGGAGCAGGAGGGTGGAGAACTTGTAGGGGCACCTCCACCTGTTGTGGTCCAACCCCAACTTCATGGATCAAGGAGAAGGTTGTTGGTGGGAACCCAACATTTCATGGACCCATCAACAGGCCATGAATCATCCCAACTTCATGGGTCAAGTAGAAGGTTCATGGTGGGAACCCAAACCTTCATGGGCCCATCAATGGGCCATGTTGCAGCCCCAGATTTGTAGGTCAAGTAGAAGGTCCTTGGTAGGAACCCAAAATTACATGGACCTGTCCATGTGCCATGACCCAGCCCCAGCTTCATGGCTCCAGCAGAAGGTCCTTGGTGGGAACCCAAAACTTTGTATGGTCCCAGCCACCTGCCATGACCCTTCCCTGGTTAGATGGGTTGGAGATAATGGTGGAGGAACCCAAACCTTACATGGACCTGTCCACGTGCCAGAGGCCATCACCAGCTCCATGGCTCAAGCAGAAGGTCTTTGGTGGGAACCCAAACCTTACATGGACCCATCCAAGTGTGAGGTCCCATCAGCAACTCTGTGGCTGTGGGGAACCCAGACCTTCCATGAACCAACCATGGTGGAGCAAGTCAAACCCTGAAGGGTCTTGTCCACATGCCAGGGTCCACCCCAGTTCCACGGCTGAAGCAGGAGGTAGTTATGGAGAACCCAGACCTGGTGTGACCCATCCACATGCCCTGGTGGACATTCCCTTCCTTTATGGCTTGGGTTGGAGATGATGGAGGAACCCAAACCTTGCATGGTCATGTCCATGTTCTGGAGCCCATCATCTCCAGCTCTGTGGCTCAAGCAGGAGGTAGTTATGGAGAACCCAGACCTGGTGTGACCCATCCACATGCCCTGGTGGACATTCCCTTCCTTTATGGCTTGGGTTGGAGATGATGGAGGAACCCAAACCTTGCTTGGGCCCATCTCCAACTCCACAGCTGAAGCAGGAGGTAGTTCTGGAGAACCCAGACCTGGTGTGACCCATCCACGTGCCGTGGTCCTTTCCCTGGAGGTTGAAGAACCTCAAGACTTCCATGGACTCATCTCACCTTGAGTTTGAACTCAAAGCTCCACCGAGACCTTTTCATTTCTCCAGCAGAAAAGTTGGGTGGTGGCTGAAGGGACCTCAGCACCAGCCCCACCTTGGTCTTACCTGGCAGGAATCGATGCCACCCTGGGGGACACCAGCGCAGAACATGTTGGGGGTGATGGCGTTTCCATAGGCCCTGGAGCACTTGTCCCTCCCGAAGGTCTGGATGGCGGCACACTGCAAGTTCTTGGGGAGACTCGCTGGAGAAGAAGATGGAGATGGAGAGAGAGAGAAGGTGAGATGAGGTCTCCTAATGTTGAGGCTTGAGTAGACCTCATCATACTGTTGGTGGAGTTCTTTGGGAGGTGGTCAATGGAGATGTCTCCATTGGAGATGGGGAGGTCATCTCCAAAGAAACCCAACCCTGAAGGGGAAACTCAACTAGAAGATGTTCTCCGTGAGGAGCTGGAGTTAAGGTGGACACCAAGGAAGACCTTAACCCATCTTCCCAGTGGAGGAGGCCACGTGGTCTCCTTGACCAACCTTCTCCTTCCATCCCACCTCTTCCACCGAGGTCTCCACCACTGAGTCCAGTACCTCCAGGAGACTTGGTGGTTCCCCAACCGGAGACGCTGCACTTCATCCCGTCCATGGGACACCTGGTGGCCAGTCGGATCTTCTTGATGTTGTTGCTGAACTGGACGGGTTTGTTGAGCCTGAGGAGCATGAAGTCGTTGTCGTTCCTCTGGGGGTTGTAGGACGGGTGGACCAAGAGCGTGGAGATGGTCCTCACTTCTCCTGTCCCATCCCGTAGCGTGTCCGTCCCGATCAACACCCTGAGGTCCCTGTTGGGGGGGAGAAGAAGAAGAAGGTCAAGAAATCAGTGATGGTCCATCCAGAGGAGACACATAAACCCTTGGCCTCAAGGGTTGTCCATCAAGGAGGTGATGAAGACCTGTCTGTTGAAGCTTCTCCACATTCAGTGGAGTTCAGGTGGCCATGGGACCATGGGAGAAGGTCAAGAAAACACATCAATGTCTTGAGGATCCATGAGCCAGGTCTTCTCCAAGAGCTCTTGGCTGGCTCAGGAACCCTGGAGACATCTCCCATCTCCATGGGAAACCCTTGTGTCTTTTGACCTTCAACTCCTTGACTTCATCTTCCCGATGTTCTCCAGAGGTCCCACCTGCAACATCTCAGCAACGTCACCCTCAGCCCAACTTCTCGCTGACTTTTCTTCTGCTTCCCCTCCCAAAGGTCCAGTTTCCTCTTGTAGGACCTTGTGGAGAAGTTGGAGAAGTTTGGCTTTGGGATGGACCTGGTCCACTTAATGTCACCTGGATGAAGAAGGTGACTGGACCTCCAAGTGGGGGGGGAGAGGTTGGTTTCCTTAAGAGCTTTGTGAGTAGAGGTTGTCACCCTGCAAAGGACACGTCACCTCCTCCAGTCTCCATGTTGGATCTTCATTGTCCTCTAGAGGTACCAGCATCTGGACACCAACGTCTGGAGATAACCCAGGTCCCATCAACATCTAGAGCTACTGGCCATGGGACACCAGATCTGGAGAGAACATCTAGGGTGCAAATATCTGCACGTACCAACCTCTGGAGATACCAACTTCTGGAGCTACCAACCTCTGGAGGTACCAGACTCAACTTCTGGACAATAAAATTTGGAGATGCCAACATCTGGAGGCAACAAACCCTGGAGATGCCAACATCTGGGACATCTCTCTCTGGATACCACCATCTGGAGGCATCATCTTCTGGAATTGCCACCATCTGGGCATTAACACCTGGAGGAACCAACTTCTGAAGAGCCACCACTCACTCTTGGTCATTGAGGGGTTCCTGGGTAGGAGCAGATGGGTTGGTGGGACACATGGACATGGACCCCTCTTACCTGACTGGCTGCTTGCAGTGGGCGGCTGTCAGGACCCATTGGGCATCTATCAAGCTTCCTCCACACAAGATCTGACCTCGCTTGATGAGGGCAACTTGGAAGGGTCGTTGGTTGATGGAACAAGGTTTCCCACCAATGATCCGAGACTCGTCCTCCTCCGGCACTGGAAGACAAAGGTCATGGTGAACATGTTGGGTGGTTGAAGATCTTCCACCAAAAAACCTGATGGTTTGGGTTGAAAAGGTGGAGAAACGGTGACCAAAAAAGGTCTTCAAAAAGTGAAAGGGAAAGTTCTGGGTTCTTCAGCCTCTGAGTCTCCTCAGAATGGTCCAAATCATCTCAAAAACCTCTAAATATCAGGTTTTTAAGTTCCTGGTGGCACCTGCCAACCTCCTGAGGTGCCACCAAGATCTTTCTGGACCAAAAAGAGACAATTTTGGCACTAGCTGAAACCAAACCATTTGTAACCCAGATGGAACCACTCCTTGAAGATCTTGTTTTCTCCTGGTGGCAGGTGATGGAGCTCATCAGCATGACTGACCACCCATGAGTCCATGACCTGACCACCCATGACCTGACCCACCCATGACTGACCACCCATAACTCCAGG